CTTGAAAAAAAGTAAAACTTTTTTAATTTTTCGAAAATTCGCACTTTCAGTAATTAAAAAAAATCTATTTGTTTTTAAACTAGATGCAACCACCGTTTAATGCACTTTTTTTAAGTTTCTAAAACCATTAAAAAAAAAATAAAAAAATTTGGTAACTTCGTAGGCACTGGTAAAAAAAAACTCCCAACCTCTCAAAACTCAATTTATTCATTTTAATCACACCCCCCCACTCTCCTGTTCCCCACTTACAACTTCAATCTCCTGTTGCAACTTCTCCAACTCACCTTGCAACTCCTTTATCTGACCTTGCAACTCCCCATAACGCCCTTGCAACACTTTCTCCCGCTCCATTTGCCGATTAACATCCTCCGTGAGCGACTAAAAACCCCAAAATAACAAAAAACACAAAAAAATAGTAGAAAAAATACCTGTATACGCCTCGGCAAAGCCGCCTTTTCCTGCTCTTGCAAAAACTTGAACGTATTCAACTCCAAATTGGCTTGATCAATTTGATCGAAATAATCCTGCAGTTGTTTAATAAGGGCCTGCGCCCTCGATTGATAGCCCCCAGTCAAAATCTTCAATTTTTTCTCCATTTTCGCCGCTTTTTTCGCCTCTCTCGCCATATGGGAGCGATTCTGTTCTAATTTTTTCTCCGCTGATTCTAACCTCTCTTTTTTCGACACCAAATTCGCCCTTGTGTATTTATTCAAATTGGGGACGAAAAGCACCTGTCCGAGACACTCCTCCCACACTTGAGTGTAGGCCTCCAGGGGCAACTCCCCATGCCCCATTCCATATTTAACCACTTCCATTTCACGTTTGAGTAATTGTTTGGCCATTTTTAAATCATCGGATTTAAAATCGTCGTAAGGATGCTGTTCCAGGAATGCCAACTGTTGTGCTTGTGCCAAAGCTGAACGTTTAGTAACATTTGGATTTTTCAAGTTGTCATATTGTAACATTGTCACCATTTCACACTTGATCAATTCTTCGGCTTTTTGCAATTCTGTTAATGAGTGGGATTCATGACCCGGCCGTAAAACGGCTAAATTGACATCATGGGGGCGCGGCAGCCCCCTTTGAATCACCTGCGAACGCAATGCCAACTCTTGAATAGCCCTAATTCGTGCCTCTTCCACCGCACGAGCATCAATATCGGCTTGATCTTCAATATTATTAACAATATTTTCAATTTTTTCCTCTTCTTCTTCTTCATGTTCAGGAACGACAATTTCATAGTCGTTTTTGGGGCTCGGAAGACTACTCAACCCCAATCTTAACTGTTCCTTAACTGTATTTTGTACCACTGGTGTGTGCCCCCCTTCCTCAACATTAATACTCAACTTATCACGAACCGAAGGGGTGAAACTTTGAGGGGTCGCAAACCCTGGCGTTTGAGGTGTTTGAGGAGTCGTCAAAACCGTATTAGGGGTAGCAACAGTGAGCGCTTGTGGTAAAACCCCTGAAAAATCGGAATTGTGAAGTGGGGTATTGACCCCACCTTTGAGTGGGGTATCGACATGAGTCAATGCCATGACATTCTGGGCCTCTTGGAGGATGCGATCGGTTTGGGGGGCTGGTGTTCGGGGCGTCGCCCCCGCCTGGGGGGCTATCGAATAATCGTTGAAAAGTGTATCAGTCGACTCGATGCCACTCTCGGAGGCTACTTCACGTGCAACTTCACTCGCTTTACCCAACTTCACCACTTGTTGCAACTCCAAATCGGTGATTTGGGGTTCGGGAAGTACCAATTTGGAGCGCTTTTTCGGTGGTTCTTGGTGCCCCCCGCCGAGCATGGCTTGGGGTATGTCGTTCTCTTTGCGTTGTTTTAATTTTTGCTTGTCTTTGCGACGTTCGCGCTCCTCTTGTTCGCTGCGCAGTTCGCCGTCGAGGTGCTGTTGGCGCATTTTGTGAAAATCGGGGGCCATTGGATCGACTAGTTCATTAGATGTGTCATAAAAACCGATTGCTGGACGCTTTTCAAATGGTATTTCTTCGTTGTAGTCTACACCGCGTTTTTTCTTGCGTCGAGAATTTACTTCGATGCCAGCGGCGCGAAGTTCGCGACGTTTTTGCAGGGCTGCCAATCGACGCGCTTCTTCGAGTTGTTTTTCGCGCGCTTTTCGTTTCGCTTTTTTGCCTTGGGTGTTGGCCAATCGGGCGCGGGCTTCTGAGAGCATTTCCAGTTCTGGAAACAGGCAGAGGTACCAACTTATGAAATTTGTTTTTTTTTTTTTTAATTCTAGGGAATTTTGACGACATAATCTAAATCTAGGGACAAACACTAGCAGTGATGCCAGATTTTTTTCCCTAGTTGTGGGGATTTTCTAGAGAAGTAACACAAATTAAATAAAAACAAAAATTATACAAAAACATTGTCTTATTACAAATTTATTTTTATATTGTTTATTTTTTATCTCTTTAAAGAATTTTCAAAATTTATTGATTTTTTTGTGGCATTTTATCGCAGTTCTAGGGTTTTTTTGGCAAAAAAAAGAATTTTTT